GGTTTGTGGTTTCATGGGCTTTGCCAATTGACACAGCTTGAATTCGAGTAAGAGTGTTTCCTCTTTCAAGCAGTTTTTTCTTCAAATCATCATCAGAAACTCCATACACAAATTGGTCTCTCACTTGTCTGTCTTCACCTATGTAATTGCAATCTTTAACTAACAGCATCAGATCAGTGACAAACGAAGTGATTGTCTCTTTAGGTTTCTGAACTTGTTCCTCTAATTTCTTTGAAGCTACAATCTCATTGCATTCAGCACTTACTGCTCCTTCGAGGTTAGTCCACATAAGTTTGTATTTGTTTACATCTTCATCCTTAGCCCAGTCTAAACTGTCATAAATCTTCTGGCCTTCCGGTCCGAGCCAATCTTGTACCAGTAAACACTTTCTTTCCTCAGATATGTTAACGAGGCTTCCTTTGAAGATATATCCACACTTTTCTTGAATGCTTTTAATGCTTCGAGGTGATTTTCTTGGCGAGCATTGAACTTTGGTCACTCAAAGTTCATGATATTTCCAGAGAAATGAGCAGCAGGATTTTGAATAGGAGCAGCCTCAGTTTCTTCGTCAGACATCTTTTACAACAGCAGTAATAAACAGATGCGGAAATTATCAGAATTCCCCGCTCCAGCAGAAAGTAGACGATGAAAATTCACTCGGGATAATTGATTTTTACCTCACTAGGTCAATTTCAGAAGATTTGGCGCGAACTGGTTCGGAGACTGTCTTCGCAGAAATGTTTACAGATTTCCCTCCTGGATCCTCCAAGCAGGTTTCACAGCAGATTAGGAGTAGTTCAGCAGTAATTCCATTATTTTCTTCACTCCTGGTACCATGTTATTGCATGGAAGAGACGATGACACATAAGCTAACTTAACGTTTTATCTCCACCTCGTGTGCTCTCTCTCTCTGCATCCCATAATACTCTAGACTAGTGTCCAATCCCCTAACAGATTGTATCTTTGAACAATCACTAGTTAATACACTGTTATTGTCAGTGGCCTGAAGCTAGTCCTTCACGGTTAATGACTGCAGGAATGACCTTCTGCAAGTGGTTAATGTATTTGGCGCACTTGCCAGGTGTCATGCTATCCCAGAACTGCTTAATTCCACATACTAATTCTTCTTTGTTTGAAGGCTTCACGATGTGGCGGAGGAAACACTTCAGTTCATGCCAAAGCATCTCAATGGGATTTAAATCGGGGCATTCAGCAGGTGTAGGCCAGTAGTTTATGTTGTTGTCAGCGAAAAGCTGCTTTGCAAGCTTACCTGAAGACAGAACAGTAGTGATTGAAAACAAATGTCCTATGCAAATACGCAGGTCTGGGAAGCTCACTAGTGTAAGTCAGCTAAACTTTCACGAGTATTTCTGAATTGCTCACAAGTGAAGTTTGGGAGAATGAGAAATCAACTAAACTTTCACGATGGTTTGTGAATCGCTTTAAAAAGCAATAAAACTTCACAGCATCATAAGAAATGACATGTTTTGAAATTTTCTTTTTCCTTTCAAATCGGTTAACGTTATATTTAAACAACACTTACTTGTATGCTTTGGATCATTATCCTGCTGAAACCTGTAGTTGTTGTTGGGAAATGTGGCATTGACGAAGGGGAAAAGGGAGTTTCGTAGGATATCTTCTACATAAAAGAATCCGTCCATAATCCCTCCAAACATCAATATCGGGGTGGCTCCTTTGGTGGAAATTCCAGCCCATGTGTGGACTTTGAATGGATGTTTCGCTGTAGGCTTCATCTTTGCCGGTTGTCCCACTTTGCAAAAACACAGTTTAATATGTCTACTCAGCCAGATGCTGCTTTCATCCGTGAAAACAATGTTTTCGAATTTTTCATTTTCTGTGGCACATTTCCTGGCAAATTCCAGTTGCTTGACTCGGTTAGCCTCTCTCACAATCTGACAGTACGGGGGTCTGGACTTTTGCCATCCGATTTTGTATCATGCTCACTTAATCGTCCTTAGTGAAAACTGCACATTAAATTCTTCACACAGCAACCTCTGTAATCCTATAAAAGAGTGTTCTTCAGCTTAATACAGGGCCCGGTTGATCAACCAAACAATCGATAAATTTATTACATTTGCCGATTTTCTGTTTCAAAACAGGCACAGACTCAATCTCACAATGAACTTACCAGGTCAGGTTAGCTCGTCATTCTCCTCCATTTTAGCATCGATGAAAGTCTAAGTGTTGACTTAAGACCTTTGATTTCCTGCCTGGAATTGGTTTGTCAGCTAGCATGCCATATTGTGTGAACTTTTTTACTAATTTTGAAATGGTGCAAGATACACTGTGATTCCCTCACTCTCCTTCAGTTCACGAGTGATTTTTGAATAATTGAGACCTTGCCTGTATAAGGCAATGACTCTCTGTTTGACATAGTCTGACGATCGAGGCATGGTTTAATTTTAACTTTCTCGTAAAGGGAATAATGTTGAAAAGAACACAGAAACCCAATTTCTGTAGGTTTTGCGTGTTTGGTCGTACTGCTGAGGAAAAAACTTTGGTTTGCTCTCTGGTTGGTTAACTTTGTAACTTAATTAACATGACAAATATAAAACTTATACCACTGAGGAAACAGCTGTTATTTATTTATGATTGGTTTACCTTGGGGTGATTTTGATCCTAATTAACATAACATAAGCTATATATATGGCATTTTTTCCAGTTGTATTCTAACCACTGCTAACCATCAGAAACATGTTCAGTTGTTAACAGTATGTCTCTTAGAAGCGCACTTAAGATACTGAAGAATAGACTGCTCTTCTCTGAAATCGATAATTTGACATGTGTATTAGCCAGCAAGAAAATCAGCAAAGTCCTGGAAGGTGACAACAAAAGTAAAGGCAGTAAGGTCTTGGTAGAATATGGCACGGAGGAACTGGAGGCAACAATTATTGGAGTTTCAGGTAACGAAACGTACTGCTGCTGATGCTAAATTTCTAACTATATTTTATTGTGTGCAAGGCAAGGTATTGATTCAGTTGTGTTCTCTTCGCAGATGATCCCACTGAGCTCTACAAGTTAGATTTGGAATTCCGCAAGCAGTCGTTAACTCCAGTGCCAAGTGACGAATCCGATAAAGAAAACCGACCACCACCAAGCATTGCGAGAAAATGAAAACAAAAAGCGAACGACTCAAGTACGCAGAAAAAGAAAAGGCCAGAAGCGTCAACTAAGCAGAAAAAGAAAAGGGAAGAGACGTCAGTTATCGCGAGGCATCCAGCCCCTACTTTGCAGGTTAGCTTACTTTCTCAGTTGGCTCAGGTTCAGTTTAGGGATTTGCGATCAGTCGATACAAGGCGCATTCGTGATGATTTATATCATATACAGTGGAATCCCGATTTCTCGAACCCTCAGTATTTCGAACCTCCCGAAGTTCCCTCCCCAGTCAAAAACTGTAATTTTACCCCCGATTTCTCGAACTCTCCAATTTCAAACCAATTTTCGTTTCCTTTGTAGGGATTTCACTGTAATTCTGCTTCTCAAAGTTGATGTGAATTGGTCCAAGAACAAAGTGGTAATACTTTTAGCAACTTTGAATTTTTAGCGCACACGAATCAACAAATTGATTTATCCTGGCATAATTAACTTTTCCCTTGCACACGTTGTTCAGGATTATTTGCAGTTGCTCAAATATTACATATTTAGATTTATCATATAATATGTATCAACATGTTATACTGAAGAGTTATTTGACTAGTTTGTTTCCTTTCAAAAGTGGTAGCCATTGTTAAAATGAAAGTGATCGTTTACATTTTCATTAGTTTTGTTGTTAATTGTAATGATGACCACCTAGACGTAATTGTTTGAATGTCTAGGACATTCTAAAAAAAATTGTTCCACGAGGATAGTTAGTGGTGTTTATCTTGCGCGTGCTTGTTTTTTCCAAAGGCTCTTTGCACTTCAGTTTTTTACAACTAGGCTAACTTTGTCGGTTTTCTGAAAAAGAATGTTTACACATAAGCGTCGTTTTGTAACAATAAGTTGTTAATTAATTATGCGTAATAAGCGTTGGGGCCTTTGATTGACATTCGAAAAAACTTATTGACACGAGAACGGTTGTTACAAAAGCAATTTCCAGTGCGTGCTTATCAAACTACATTTACAACTAGGCTGACTGTTTTTTTTTTCTTTCAGTCCAGTGAAGCAAATGTTCAAAGAGATGGAGTTGGAGCAAACGCCATGCCAAGCGAAACAGACTTGCTCACACAGGGAGCTGATCATCAGGAGCAAGTAAGTTCACTTTATTCACTTCTCATTCAACCAGAAAAAGACTATTTTACGAGAACTTTTTCGGTTGTTTATGCAAAGCTGACAAGTTGTTAACATTTAATTTTTTTTTGCATAGAAGAAGATTGCTTGACGAAAACAATTTGTGATGTTTAAAAAAAAAGAATCCTTATATCACTACACCAGTTTTATCAATGATGTGAGAACAAAAGCTTAAGTGACACAAACTTTTTGGCGCATGCTAATCAAAGTACGTTTACAATTAGGCTAACTTTAGTTGGTTTTTTGTATAAGAGCTTTGATACAAGCGTCAGTTTATTAACAATAAGTTGTTTATGTGTAGGCGAGTGGGGCCCTAGATAGTTTGACTGTCTCTTGCATACAAAAAAAATTTTGAGTGTTTGAGGGGCTCCTACTCTGTGCCGTCAAATTTCTTCAGGGATTTGAAAAATTTGCACAACAGCAAATTCTCACTTCTTCCTCGGGTATGTCACACAATTTCCTATTCTTGTTTTCTTGTAAACAAAACTGCTTTCATGCCTTCATGTCATTTTGTGTTTTTACTTTTATGTTTGCTGGTTTTTGTTGCAAAATAGATTCGTGAAATTTGTCAACATTTTTGTTTTCTTTGTTTTCATTCCCCTTGACACATCCGGTTTTCTCGTTTTCCAACTCCATCAATACAGAGACCATAGGACATCTTTTAAGGCATCTTTTTCCATATGTCACCAGGGAAAACTGTTAATACAAAAAGGCAGTATTTTCTAAAGTGCTAGAAAAGAAAATATCACCTATTTTCCAGATTCAACCAATAACATAAATACTTAAAAAAAACATGTACATGCTAAAAAACACACGTGTTATCAGCAAGAACTAGTCTTATGGAAATAATTTATATAACAAGCGATTTATTTATTTGTCCTCAGACTTTTATTAGACCAGGAAAGGTACATGTGCGCCACTGAATGAATTCAAGCACGTGTGCAGCTTATTTCATTCATTTGGCCTTTTCTGTTTCAATTCATGATTTCAAGGGTCTTGCAAATGAACAACAGCCTTATTTTAAGCTGTGAGAAAATATATCTGGAATGATTTGTGAGAAGAAAAAACTTATTCGTGAATTTGTTTGAATGCGTTACATAAGCTAAATGCAAAACAACGCCACGTGCGATGAAATGAGCTCAGAATAAATAAAATTCACTTACTCTTCGCTGCCTTCAGTTAGTCAATGGAGATGAATAGGGCACAACAGCAGTCCTTGTTGGTACTGAACCTTTTATCAGCTGTTTTTTAACGTAATAGTTTCTCCAGTTGCATCCATTTAAGACACCGGCTTGTGTTCGAAACAACTATTGTCAAAGTGAACGCAACACAAGCATGATGACTTCTTCGGCACGAAATCTTCCTGATTTATCTGGACAAGTCATGTCCATTTCTGCTGCAAACTTTCCTCCTTGGGAAAGTAATGCATGGAAATTGTAGGCATTCTGGTTTTGTTGGAGCAATTGACTTGATTGGGGCCACCAGCCATGCAATAATTGTTTGCTCCCTTCTTTGCTCTCTTGTCCATCATGACACTATTGTCTTTAGAACCACCAACTACATCACTTCCTGTGTAAGATGAGCATTTTGATTGTGCGCAAAACGGACCTATTTTAGGTTGCAAAATCCAAACTTTGAGGTTCAAAAAATACGACAAGAAAGTGCTTTTGATCAGTTAAAACCGTTTGGCTGTGTTCATCAAGACATAAGTGAGCAAACAGGGCAAAACTATTTTTTACTTCATTGGCACTTTAACTGTCTCAGAAAATATTGTTCATGGCACAAAGTACAAGAGAAAATTTAAGTGAACTGGCTCCCACTTTGGAGAAATTTTTCTTCCAGGACACAGTGCGTAATCCCAGGGGGGATGACAGCTCCATGTAGCCAATCACAGTGTCAGGATTTGGATCATCTTCCCTGCTCACAGAGCTAGCCATATAATAAATGTATATACAGATTTTGATCTTTTACAATCAAATTTATTTATTGGGTCAATTACCGTCATTTTGGAATAACAGAGAAATAAGAAATTGTTTGAGATTTAGATGCAATGTGGCACACTGAACAGTAAATCCAAAACATCTTTTTAGAATTTAAACCTAACAGTAACAGTAACTTTGAAGATCAAGATTACTTGATGGAAATAATAGCCTGAGAGATGTAGTGTTGTCTTCTGGTTATAAATGGTTAAAAACATGTCTCTCAGTAGTCAGTGATAACCTGTTGCGAGAAATATCCAAAAAATTGCAGCATAATAATCTAGATGAGCTTGATGTGATGCAGCTTGTTATCAATAGAGTTATACTGAATTTTTACATTGTTGAGGGCCAACAGAGTGTTGGTGATGTCGTCTTCCTGGCATGAGGCATCAAGATTACAGAGACTAATAGGCAACTCAATACCTGCCCAGAGAAGCAGATGATTTGTATCTGCCAGCAGAAGACGATTATTTGTTTGCAGTTCAGCCCAAATAAGCGAATCAATTGTTTGTGCCCTTACAGGCATGTTGTTTAAATTATTAGTCTTGATAGATCAACATGCCAAATTGGGTAGATAATTCTGGGACAAGGTCTCTGTGTCAGGGATGGATCTACTTTGAAGAGCATAGTCGATCTCCTTTGGCAAGAATCATGCATCCAAGTTATGGTGACACCGCTGGACATACACTTGCTGAAAATCATCATGAAACAAATCTTGAGACTGTCTGCATATGACAAGGCAGGGAACCCAAGGAACCACCAGCAACCTGAAGAATAGTATGCTGCCTGTCTTCACCTTGCAGCAATAAAACTAAATTATACGCACTAAATGATAAATTATTGGTTTACAGTCTATTTTGTTTGTATGTTTGTTACTGTTTGGGCCACTCAGTACAACATCAATATTGTTTGTTTGATCATGTTTGGTCCCCATACATTTCCTGTTTGGACAGGCCATTCAAGTCACTGTAGCCCCAATTCCAAACTCTTGAGCTATTCATTCTGGTTTATTCTGGTCAAAGTGGTTTTATGAATGCAATCATCAATTTTACAGGAAACAGGTGATGAAAACTGGGCCCTTTGGATGGTAGGAGAACATTGCAGTGCAAAGAGGTCACGCTGAAAGCCTTGACAACTGAAATTTACTGGTCCACTGGCAAAGTGGATTTTAAATTTTTTTCCTGCACAGAAATCTGAGCAAAAATATTTATGATGTTGTTTATTGATGAAACCCATTGCATTACTTGGTGAGTTGTCATTTTATTTCAACTTCTTACAGATCATAAGTAACACTTTTATTTTGAACTTTGACAAGTAAGTTGGTTTTCATTTTAATTTTCCTTTTTGTCAGTGAAGTATTATAATTATGCAGAAACATGAGCTTAAGTTAATAAAGATAAAACCAAGAATGAAATTGAATCATGATTGTGTATGCCTGGTAATTGAGTCAATGATATTACTTTGGTGTGACAGAAACTGTACTTCACTGGAAACTCATTGTGCTGTGTTCATTGTTACTGAGGCATACTTTTGAGCAGATTCCACAAGATTGCCTATCAATTTCAATCATATGGAGATCCATTGATTGGATAATCTTCTTGGCAATGGTATCATGACTCACTAAGTTGTATGCCCTTGCATTGTACTTATCCACCTACAACAGAGGCAGCAGGAGTCCTTTTCACTCTTCTCCTTAAATTTTATATTCCTATTTTAACTGGAGTTTGAGGTGAACCAAGGGTATAATGCAAAACTTACTCTTTTTTCCTGTTGTCCTACATGAAGGCAATTTGTGGTGCTCTGTGTACATGTTTTTTCATGCATTTCACTAAATGATCAAATGGATAATTTGGCCAGGGTCTCTTAGCATTGCACTAAGCGTGCTTTACAAAAACTTGACACAATTCATGCAGAGCTTTTGTCAGTATGAAGCATATAGCACAGTAAGGAAAGACTCTCCTTGCAGGGTGAATACAAGTCTGTTGGGAGAAGTTCTAGGATTTTATAATTCATTTTATTGAATTCGTTGGTGTATTAATGGCAAACAAATTAAAATTATAAGCCATATGAATAATCCATAAACGAGTCTATAACCCATGTGAAAACAAATCACCTTGCTATGTGTATGTATTAGAAGTTTAGAGTCAAGTCACCATAGCCCCAGCTCCCAACTCTTGGGCTATTCATTCTGCTTTATTGTTGTCAAATTGGTTTTGCAAGTGTGAGCATCAATTTTCATGAGAAACAGAATTTTCTGACATTTAGTTGTGAATTTTGCAGACTTTTACTAGCATCTGCAGACATGGAGGCTTCCATTGTTAGGGGTCTCAACCAACGTGAAGGATTTAAAGCTTCTTGTTTGCTTATGTGAGTCTGAAGGTCATGGAATGGCTAAGATGATTCCAAGACAAGTAAACAAGTGCGTGACACAGAACTTTGTTTTTGAGCGTAGTGTACTTCATCAGATTGAGTTTGCCAGAACATTAATAAACTCACTGACCAAATAGTCACCTTAAGTTGCTTTGAGGGAACTTGCTGCATTCTGAGAAGAGCATGCTGTACTTGGTTGGCACATGTAAACAATCAGAGTTGCATGCAGAGGAAGAACGCAGAATATATAATGGTCTGTTTCTATTCCGTTGATGGGGAAACTGGTTTTTCTAACACTCAGTGTTAAAGTATTCTACAAGTCCATGATGTATAAAAAACTGAATGGTCAAATTAATAATGATGATTTCAGTCACTTTTAAAACAATCTATCAGCATATTTCACAGTACCAATTGCAAAGCCTTAGTCTGCTCTTTTTGGCACTATATTACTGCCTGTTGTAGTTGATTATCCTCAAAACACTCTTCCTTTGACAAATGCCAAGTATCACAGATGTTTTTCATGTAAGAATCTTCACCACCATCTGAGGATCGTTTTCTTTTTGCTTTAGGTGTTCTGCCATTTTTCACTCACCCTTTTCTCCTGTATTCTTAGGTTTTTCTATTGTAAATAGCTATAGGTTTTTTTTTAGGTATTTTCTTCTAATTTAACTCGTTTTTGTTATGTCCCCATATTAGTAGGGGAGTTTTTCCCCAGCTAGGTGGTTGATGACATTCTTAATAAAGTTTCTATCATGGTGTTGCACATGTTTTGCCAATCCTGGTCAAGTGTCTGTTCTTTTGTCTTTTGGAATGATGCATTATTTACTGTGGTCATCAGATCAAGGTTTATTGCACCCCATATTCACAATACTTCATCCAGTTGCTTGTGGAATGCATGCCAGGCTTGAACCCTCTTAACCCACAGATACCATTTTCATTCTCACTTAATGGTTTTCAAGCCTGAATTTTTGGTTTGTTGCTTAACGTGCTTCACATTTCTATGAATTCATACAACCCAAAATTCCATACATTTATTCCAAAAATCCAACAGGATTTGTCCACACAACACTTTCCATCGAGCAAGGGAGGATAATTTCAAAGAATCATACCCAGTCAACCACCTGTCAAGAGCAGCATGCTCCTTATTGTGTCTTAATGATTCATTCTCACTGGAAAGAATTTGAATTAGCTGTCTGAGAAATCGAAGGCTGTATCGAGGAACCTAGAAGTAGAGAATACATTTAGACTGGCCCCATACTGGTGAAGAGGATCGACTGAATTGTGTAACTGCTATTGATCCAGCATTTGGGGCCAAAGTGTTGACATACATCAGCAATCATGTTTGTGGCCTATGGTAAACATTGCAAAAGGCGCGGGATTCAGAAAAGTGTATGCCTAATAATATTGATTAATTGGGTTAAATGCTGATGGCATTATTCAAGATTGGGAAAAATGGAAATGAAAAAGTAATAAATGTAATAATATAATAGTAAAGTTAATCTTAAATGAGGATGCCAACATCACAAAGTGGTTTAAAAAAGGGTCCTCAATGAAGAGAGTAAAATAAAGGAAAATAACCAAGAAAAATCAGTACGAACTTACATGAACTTAATTAAAGAAAAAGATAACGTTAATTAATTGACATATTGACCAGAGAATTAGTTCCCCTTGAACATCAAGCTGATTGTGGCAGAGAGCTGTTTTCTCGTAAGTACTGCTTGCAGTTTACCAACTTGACACAAAATGATGTACTTAATCGTTGATGTATCCAACTGCAATCTTAAAGTTGGTGTAGCAGTAACAGTTGATGTTCTGTCAAGTTCACTCTTGGACATTGTGACTATGCTGACAAAGACAACAGCTGCTGTTTGCTCTCATGAGGTATGAAGATTAATTTGAGAGGAGAGACTCTTGATCTCATCATAAAGAAACTCAGATGAACTTTGTTCTGACTGATAATAGACAGATAGAAGATCTGGTTGATACCGTTACAACATGCATCTGAGATGCTTTAGATCTCTAAAACCCGGTGGGAAAGGAAGACAGGGAACCTTCGTGAGAAGCTCTGTCTGCCAGTTTTCCCATAAATAGTGGAAAATCTTCTGGCACTGGGTAATCCCAGTTGACTGTAGTAGTTGTTTGCTGACTAATATGAGAGGTTCAAACTTCAAATTTTGATTTGTGCACATGACCAGGCAAGAAATAAAATACAAAGCTATTCACTTTCATCTTGAAAGCCAAGTGTTTAATGATCTTGCAAGATGTCCAAGAACGTCTTGAGCGAGCATGTGTTGAATATGTGATCAGATCTCTGTCAAAGGAACAGTTGTCTTGGGATAACATTGATTGTTTGTCTGCCTGTCGGAGAAGTCCATTTGAAACATCTTCATGACTTGAAAATGATTGACTACTTCTTTAACTTGGTTCCAAACTGAGAAATTGCAACTGAAGTTTACCATTGTCTACTTAAGGGTCTGGCATTTCCCAGACTTACTTCTGCATTCATTGGGAAACCCTTTATCTCGTTTTCTTGGTTATCTTTTCCATTTGAGTACTGAGATATCCTTCCAGTGGTTTCCCAGCCAAGGTCAGATTGTAAGGCATAGGGGCTATCATCTACTTCAGGAACAAGAATTCTGGTCTCCATATCATTCAAATAAGGTACAAGTTGGTTCAGTTTGTCGTGCTGACTCAGGTCTTGGAACCTGAGCTTTTTATGCTGGATTACTTTTGCATGAAAAGGCCTTGGGTAACTACAGAGAAAAGATTGATATAGGTGAAATCGTTGTCACACCAAACCATCGGGTATATCAGTAGCCTTTGTGTGGTTAATTTAAGCAGGCAAAACAAAAATAGCAAAACCACTGACCACCAGAACCTCTAAGGAGGGATTTTAATTTTAGTGTACAACCCACCCATCCCTCCTGAAAACTAACAATCATTTTTTTTATAATATGCAAACGAAACCGTGTGTTTTCAAAGGTTAATTCGAACTTGAAATGAGGGCAGTAATTTTTCAAAACTCTTCTTCCACGTCACTGCAGATGTCTTCCTTAATCTTTTCAACATCAGCTGCTTTACGTGATGGCTGCCGTGTGAGTTTAGCCCTCGTGGCTTTTTTAGCACATACTGTGAAAATTCAGTCATAGTAAGCTGGAACTCTGCTTCAGAGACCTGGTTATCAGCCAACGCTTTGGAGAGAAGCGGGTCAGCCGTTTCACGTCCAGCTATGGCAAGCGTGACAATTTCTTGATGCTTCTTGATCTTTGAATCAAGCTTTTTGCTGCCGATTATCAGGCCTGAATAAATCAAAGCAAAACAGCCACCAACGCTGCCTAATGGAATTGTAGCTGGTAGGCCAACCCCGGACAGAGCCAAACCAAAGCTTGCACTCAAAAACGCTGTTGAGAGAACACTGGTGCCAGCAGCGTTCTAGTTAAGCACCTTTTTCGCTTGTTTATACTTTTTGGCAACCACTCAATAGTGGGTGACCTTGTTGTTAAGAGCAGTTGAAATCTCATTGATTTTCTGCAACCAAAAGTCAGCCTGCAGTTGGGGGTAGAGAGGCTGCGGCAAAGCTTCAGGAGGAGCAGATGGCAAAACATTCACCAACGACACTGTATAAAAAGCTTTTCTAATTCAAATTCCATAGGCAAGCCCTTGAAACCAAAGAGTTTGCCATCTTCATCTTTGACACTAAGGGTGATGCAGTCACGCAAAACTTCTTTGGGGGAGGATGATAGCTTACTTTTTCATTAGGCAAGCCTTTCATTTGAAATTTAGCCAAAACATCTGATTTTTTCCCATTCAAAAGGTTTTTGGTTTTGTCGATCAGATCACAATGAATGAAGTAAGTGGATGGGCTGTTTAGCTTTTTGACACAAGTTAACACATGTTATGTCTGCTTGATGCCAATCAACCTGGCTTAAAGTGTGACTAACTGAAATTGTTTTGTCTGAGGTTTTCCATCATGTTATTTTTGGCACAGAAATGGGTTTTGTTTCTCATGCCAATTGTGCCTGTTATAACTTTTCAAACTTGTTGTAAGCTGTTTTGCATGGCTATCAACAGTGTGATGCCCCTGAGGTAAAGAGGCAAGCACTTCACCAGACTCTTTGAAAGACATTTGCCCTGCTCTTTCTAGATTATGCCATGAATTGGCAAGGCAACAAGAGATGAGTTTCATGAAATGTACTTTTGGAATTGGCTCTTCAAAGTACACAGTTTCCCCGTTCTTTTGTGTGACAATTGTGAAAACAACCGTTTTATATTGTACAAATATAACATATTCAAAATGGACTCCTACAAGAAAATTCAAAAATGGATGGAAATGCCAGAGGCAAAAACCAAAGAAACAGTGCGTGTGTGGGCGACGTTCACAGAAAAGTTTCCAAACGCGGATAAAAGCAAGTTCTTTTTTTTAAAATAAATATTGGAACTCCCTTTAACAGGGCTTTTCAGTCACAATAACCTAACTATTAGAAAATACTAGAAATTAAAAAACTTATTTACAATAACAATTTAAATTAAAAATTCAATTATTTCTTATAAAACTCAAGTTGAAATTGATGAAAAAAGTAAAGTCAGTGCAGAAGTATTTTTCAGACAGCCCTACTTCATTGCAGAGCGTTTTTGGTTGTGACAAAAATTTTTGGAGTGAACGACTTAAAACTGCGCTCAGTTTGATGGGTGTGGCAGGCTTTCCTTATCAACTGTCACCGGTACAACCAATCCCAGCGTTGCCAATCACAGAAGCAGCACCAAGCCTCAAGAAAATATTCAGCAGTCAGATAAACATCTACTTGACACCAGACAACTACTTCGTGACAAAATTCTGCGACATATTCTAAAAAACCAGACTCAAACACACCTCTGTGGCAGAATCAAAATGGTGGTTGGGCAGCCCACACACAATATTGGCCTCAACAACTCAACTTTGCTGTTTTCTGCGCGACAGAGGGTTGTGGAATTTCTCGCAAAATCTTTGACAGCAGATCATCCCTGCTGCAACAAATAATAGCTGTTTATAAATTTCATGTCTATTTCACAGTCAGGCGAATTTTGTTCCAGATGTGGGGCTGGGGGATCCTACACTCAATCAATACAATAATCCTTATGATGAAGCTTCATACGACAGAATCTGTGATGAGTTCGGAATAAAGCCATGGAGTGATTTTTGCTTCACACGCAAGAAAAACCACGGGCTAGGAAGCATATACATCAGTGTGTCAGGGCACGGATCAATGAAAAACCTCTTAGGGTTCAATAGATTCAGTGATGAAGGAGGGGCTGCAACCAAAAGAAACTTGATTTCTTACATATAGCCAGACAGCCAGACGCAATTGCGTCCACTCAGTATGACTGGTTCGCTCCAAACCAAGGCTTTGGTTTGATGCAGGTGGGCCTTTTACAGATCAATCAGTCAATCAAAGCCTTTGTATACTGAATCTTCGGTTCGCAAGTAAACTTACACAGCAGTATTCTTGGCAAAGGAGGTAGAGCAAAAGAATCCCAGAGTGAGTTTCTGGTTTTGATGGAAGATGCAATAAGACAACCAGACTTGGCCAAGAGTGTGCAAAGATATCAGCTTGCGGTTGATGCAGCAAAAGTTAGACTCCATCTTGCTGTGTGTCCCAGGGCGTGGCTAATGCCCGCGAGCATGATCATAAACAAAGAAAGAACAGTTGGCTATAACAACAAGCTCAAACAAGTGATTTCTGGTATGAAACTCAGGGTTAACAATACAGTGAATCCAGGCACAAAAAAGGCCCTCCTCAAACTAATGGCAGGAGGGCCATCAAAAATTAACCAGCCAAACAGCCACCCTTCAAACCCGATCCACAAGGCCACAACCGCTTCAAAGAACCCCCTCCCTCAAAGAGCGAGCCCGAAGCACCCACACAAGGAGGGCAAAAAGTAGAGCCCACTGCTTCGCAACACAAAATAAACAAAACCGCTGTTATTGATGGTATGGTAGGAGTCGTGGCTTTGCTGTTGATGGTGCTGCAACGTTAGTGCCGCTTTTTAATGTATTTCAAAAATGAAGGCAACAACCGCCAAAATCAAGAGCCAGATGTGCTCGGCAAGATAGCTTACCACTTGCTCAGCTGTTTTGAAAAGGAAGCTCACAATCGAGCCAATCAGCCCAGGCAGCATAGAACTGAGTTTTGCACCTCTATCCGTAAGACCGTTCCCAAAAGCTTTGCTGGTGGCTTTCAGTGCGTTAGTAATTGAACTGATGACAACCCCGATTGTAACCCCTGTGGCAAGAAAAATGGCAGTGACAGTCAAGCCATATTTTTCACAGATTTCTGGTACTTTCTGTGAGAGGTGCCCTCTCTCTTTCTCCAACCTGAGTTTGCAAAAGTGTGAGCTCTTTTTTTCTGCTACTCTGACCTCTGCGGCTTCTTTTTCTGAGGGTGTGGCATTCTCATCTTGGATGATCACCTGGTCTTCCTGGTTTTGGTGCTGCAGTTCGCTTTCTCGCTCTTTCAAGTCATCTAATGGTTTTGTGCTTTTTAGCCTTTCTTCCATGGCATTTCTTTCAATTTTTTTGTGTGGCGATGCTCTGAGTCTGTCGACCTTTGCTTGGGCTCTTTCTTTGTTTTTTTTGCCTGTTTTTCAAGTGCGGCCACTTCTTTTGATGCATTTTCAAAGGCGGTTTGTAAATTCTTTTTCCGCTGCTTCAGACTGCAAAGTTCTGCTTCACTTTCAACGTTGGTGCCTTGTTCATATTGTATGGCATCAATCTGAGCTTGTGTCCTCTCGAGTTGTTGTCTAAGCACTTGCATCTCTTGAGATGCTTTTTCCTTTTCTGCAGCAAGCGTTTCCACCTGTTTTAATTGGTTTTCAGCTTCTATCAATCTTTGACGTTTTTCTCTGATGGAGTCGCGGTCTTCAGCTATAATTTCAATTGGGTCCAATTTTCGGAAGTCCACTTTCAGGAACCTTTTTTTGATGAAGTCTTTGGCTCTTTCAAGCATGGCCGGTTTGTCATCATGTATTAAGTCGCCAAGCAGAGGGGTTTCTTCATAAGAAGTTTCAGGTGGCCTGGTCTGCTCGTGCTGCCTTGTTTGCATTTCTATTTCTTCGCCGCTGTGTTAGGGAGTGGAGGCCGTGCCCGGCTGACAGGGCTGGGTTGTGTTTACTTCTTGTTCATCATCATCATCATCATCNAGGTATGAAGATTAATTTGAGAGGAGAGACTCTTGATCTCATCATAAAGAAACTCAGATGAACTTTGTTCTGACTGATAATAGACAGATAGAAGATCTGGTTGATACCGTTACAACATGCATCTGAGATGCTTTAGATCTCTAAAACCCGGTGGGAAAGGAAGACAGGGAACCTTCGTGAGAAGCTCTGTCTGCCAGTTTTCCCATAAATAGTGGAAAATCTTCTGGCACTGGGTAATCCCAGTTGACTGTAGTAGTTGTTTGCTGACTAATATGAGAGGTTCAAACTTCAAATTTTGATTTGTGCACATGACCAGGCAAGAAATAAAATACAAAGCTATTCACTTTCATCTTGAAAGCCAAGTGTTTAATGATCTTGCAAGATGTCCAAGAACGTCTTGAGCGAGCATGTGTTGAATATGTGATCAGATCTCTGTCAAAGGAACAGTTGTCTTGGGATAACATTGATTGTTTGTCTGCCTGTCGGAGAAGTCCATTTGAAACATCTTCATGACTTGAAAATGATTGACTACTTCTTTAACTTGGTTCCAAACTGAGAAATTGCAACTGAAGTTTACCATTGTCTACTTAAGGGTCTGGCATTTCCCAGACTTACTTCTGCATTCATTGGGAAACCCTTTATCTCGTTTTCTTGGTTATCTTTTCCATTTGAGTACTGAGATATCCTTCCAGTGGTTTCCCAGCCAAGGTCAGATTGTAAGGCATAGGGGCTATCATCTACTTCAGGAACAAGAATTCTGGTCTCCATATCATTCAAATAAGGTACAAGTTGGTTCAGTTTGTCGTGCTGACTCAGGTCTTGGAACCTGAGCTTTTTATGCTGGATTACTTTTGCATGAAAAGGCCTTGGGTAACTACAGAGAAAAGATTGATATAGGTGAAATCGTTGTCACACCAAACCATCGGGTATATCAGTAGCCTTTGTGTGGTTAATTTAAGCAGGCAAAACAAAAATAGCAAAACCACTGACCACCAGAACCTCTAAGGAGGGATTTTAATTTTAGTGTACAACCCACCCATCCCTCCTGAAAACTAACAATCATTTTTTTTATAATATGCAAACGAAACTGTGTGTTTTCAAAGGTTAATTCGAACTTGAAATGAGGGCAGTAATTTTTCAAAACTCTTCTTCCACGTCACTGCAGATGTCTTCCTTAATCTTTTCAACATCAGCTGCTTTACGTGATGGCTGCCGTGTGAGTTTAGCCCTCGTGGCTTTTTTAGCACATACTGTGAAAATTCAGTCATAGTAAGCTGGAACTCTGCTTCAGAGACCTGGTTATCAGCCAACGCTTTGGAGAGAAGCGGGTCAGCCGTTTCACGTCCAGCTATGGCAAGCGTGACAATTTCTTGATGCTTCTTGATCTTTGAATCAAGCTTTTTGCTGCCGATTATCAGGCCTGAATAAATCAAAGCAAAACAGCCACCAACGCTGCCTAATGGAATTGTAGCTGGTAGGCCAACCCCGGACAGAGCCAAACCAAAGCTTGCACTCAAAAACGCTGTTGAGAGAACACTGGTGCCAGCAGCGTTCTAGTTAAGCACCTTTTTCGCTTGTTTATACTTTTTGGCAACCACTCAATAGTGGGTGACCTTGTTGTTAAGAGCAGTTGAAATCTCATTGATTTTCTGCAACCAAAAGTCAGCCTGCAGTTGGGGGTAGAGAGGCTGCGGCAAAGCTTCAGGAGGAGCAGATGGCAAAACATTCACCAACGACACTGTATAAAAAGCTTTTCTAATTCAAATTCCATAGGCAAGCCCTTGAAACCAAAGAGTTTGCCATCTTCATCTTTGACACTAAGGGTGATGCAGTCACGCAAAACTTCTTTGGGGGAGGATGATAGCTTACTTTTTCATTAGGCAAGCCTTTCATTTGAAATTTAGCCAAAACATCTGATTTTTTCCCATTCAAAAGGTTTTTGGTTTTGTCGATCAGATCACAATGAATGAAGTAAGTGGATGGGCTGTTTAGCTTTTTGACACAAGTTAACACATGTTATGTCTGCTTGATGCCAATCAACCTGGCTTAAAGTGTGACTAACTGAAATTGTTTTGTCTGAGGTTTTCCATCATGTTATTTTTGGCACAGAAATGGGTTTTGTTTCTCATGCCAATTGTGCCTGTTATAACTTTTCAAACTTGTTGTAAGCTGTTTTGCATGGCTATCAACAGTGTGATGCCCCTGAGGTAAAGAGGCAAGCACTTCACCAGACTCTTTGAAAGACATTTGCCCTGCTCTTTCTAGATTATGCCATGAATTGGCAAGGCAACAAGAGATGAGTTTCATGAAATGTACTTTTGGAATTGGCTCTTCAAAGTACACAGTTTCCCCGTTCTTTTGTGTGACAATTGTGAAAACAACCGTTTTATATTGTACAAATATAACATATTCAAAATGGACTCCTACAAGAAAATTCAAAAATGGATGGAAATGCCAGAGGCAAAAACCAAAGAAACAGTGCGTGTGTGGGCGACGTTCACAGAAAAGTTTCCAAACGCGGATAAAAGCAAGTTCTTTTTTTTAAAATAAATATTGGAACTCCCTTTAACAGGGCTTTTCAGTCACAATAACCTAACTATTAAAAAATACTAGAAATTAAAAAACTTATTTACAATAACAATTTAAATTAAAAAATCAATTATTTCTTATAAAACTCAAGTTGAAATTGATGAAAAAAGTAAAGTCAGTGCAGAAGTATTTTTCAGACAGCCCTACTTCATTGCAGAGCGTTTTTGGTTGTGACAAAAATTTTTGGAGTGAACGACTTAAAACTGCGCTCAGTTTGATGGGTGTGGCAGGCTTTCCTTATCAACTGTCACCGGTACAACCAATCCCAGCGTTGCCAATCACAGAAGCAGCACCAAGCCTCAAGAAAATATTCAGCAGTCAGATAAACATCTACTTGACACCAGACAACTACTTCGTGACAAAATTCTGCGACATATTCTAAAAAACCAGACTCAAACACACCTCTGTGGCAGAATCAAAATGGTGGTTGGGCAGCCCACACACAATATTGGCCTCAACAACTCAACTTTGCTGTTTTCTGCGCGACAGAGGGTTGTGGAATTTCTCGCAAAATCTTTGACAGCAGATCATCCCTGCTGCAACAAATAATAGCTGTTTATAAATTTCATGTCTATTTCACAGTCAGGCGAATTTTGTTCCAGATGTGGGGCTGGGGGATCCTACACTCAATCAATACAATAATCCTTATGATGAAGCTTCATACGACAGAATCTGTGATGAGTTCGGAATAAAGCCATGGAGTGATTTTTGCTTCACACGCAAGAAAAACCACGGGCTAGGAAGCATATACATCAGTGTGTCAGGGCACGGATCAATGAAAAACCTCTTAGGGTTCAATAGATTCAGTGATGAAGGAGGGGCTGCAACCAAAAGAAACTTGATTTCTTACATATAGCCAGACAGCCAGACGCAATTGCGTCCACTCAGTATGACTGGTTCGCTCCAAACCAAGGCTTTGGTTTGATGCAGGTGGGCCTTTTACAGATCAATCAGTCAATCAAAGCCTTTGTATACTGAATCTTCGGTTCGCAAGTAAACTTACACAGCAGTATTCTTGGCAAAGGAGGTAGAGCAAAAGAATCCCAGAGTGAGTTTCTGGTTTTGATGGAAGATGCAATAAGACAACCAGACTTGGCCAAGAGTGTGCAAAGATATCAGCTTGCGGTTGATGCAGCAAAAGTTAGACTCCATCTTGCTGTGTGTCCCAGGGCGTGGCTAATGCCCGCGAGCATGATCATAAACAAAGAAAGAACAGTTGGCTATAACAACAAGCTCAAACAAGTGATTTCTGGTATGAAACTCAGGGTTAACAATACAGTGAATCCAGGCACAAAAAAGGCCCTCCTCAAACTAATGGCAGGAGGGCCATCAAAAATTAACCAGCCAAACAGCCACCCTTCAAACCCGATCCACAAGGCCACAACCGCTTCAAAGAACCCCCTCCCTCAAAGAGCGAGCCCGAAGCACCCACACAAGGAGGGCAAAAAGTAGAGCCCACTGCTTCGCAACACAAAATAAACAAAACCGCTGTTATTGATGGTATGGTAGGAGTCGTGGCTTTGCTGTTGATGGTGCTGCAACGTTAGTGCCGCTTTTTAATGTATTTCAAAAATGAAGGCAACAACCGCCAAAATCAAGAGCCAGATGTGCTCGGCAAGATAGCTTACCACTTGCTCAGCTGTTTTGAAAAGGAAGCTCACAATCGAGCCAATCAGCCCAGGCAGCATAGAACTGAGTTTTGCACCTCTATCCGTAAGACCGTTCCCAAAAGCTTTGCTGGTGGCTTTCAGTGCGTTAGTAATTGAACTGATGACAACCCCGATTGTAACCCCTGTGGCAAGAAAAATGGCAGTGACAGTCAAGCCATATTCTTCGCAGATTTCTGGTACTTTCTGTGAGAGGTGCCCTCTCTCTTTCTCCAACCTGAGTTTGCAAAAGTGTGAGCTCTTTTTTTCTGCTACTCTGACCTCTGCGGCTTCTTTTTCTGAGGGTGTGGCATTCTCATCTTGGATGATCACCTGGTCTTCCTGGTTTTGGTGCTGCAGTTCGCTTTCTCGCTCTTTCAAGTCATCTAATGGTTTTGTGCTTTTTAGCCTTTCTTCCATGGCATTTCTTTCAATTTTTTTGTGTGGCGATGCTCTGAGTCTGTCGACCTTTGCTTGGGCTCTTTCTTTGTTTTTTTTGCCTGTTTTTCAAGTGCGGCCACTTCTTTTGATGCATTTTCAAAGGCGGTTTGTAAATTCTTTTTCCGCTGCTTCAGACTGCAAAGTTCTGCTTCACTTTCAACGTTGGTGCCTTGTTCATATTGTATGGCATCAATCTGAGCTTGTGTCCTCTCGAGTTGTTGTCTAAGCACTTGCATCTCTTGAGATGCTTTTTCCTTTTCTGCAGCAAGCGTTTCCACCTGTTTTAATTGGTTTTCAGCTTCTATCAATCTTTGACG